GCAACTTAACATATTTCATGCTCAAATGTGTGTAAAAGAGTAGCACTCATGAATACAAAACGTTTGAAGCAAACAAAAAAATTAACACTTACTTTAGCGAGCTGAAACGCAGACTCCTGTGTGGTTGTGGTTCTGGTAAAAAGTCGCTGTTGTTTTTGTTCTTGTAACCCTTCTTCATATTATCAGTGTGCAGTGCCAATGCAATGCACACTATTGTGATTTGTTTCCCATCCAAGTCATCTCAACTTTGCCATGCTTCTCCTCCTGCATACTTTGTCCTAGAGCTGCCATTGTAATTTATATCTGTAAAGCTCCTGTGCCAAAAGATGGCTATGCCTTTTGGTGCCTGTAAAACTTATAGTTTATGAAATATTAATGTTTAATGAAATATAATGGCAGTCAATGGAGCCTTGTATTGGTCCAATACTGCCCCATGCTGTACTCAACTTGGTACTGCACCATAGTTTAATATTTCAACTCAGTAGTTCAGTGTTTACAGTACTAATATGATTGTATTTTGGTGTTTTACTATAATATTGTCTTAATACTGCTCTATTGTTGTAATATTATGCAGTTTGGTGTCAATAATTGTATTGGCAATGTGGCCTCTTTCTGCACACATACAAACCAACCCCTGCCACCACCTTCTGCCACAACTCCATTGGTCTAATGGTCTATGTCATGGACTTACATGTGGGAGATCAGGGTTCAGAACCCGGCTAATGCAACTTAAAGAAAAAATCTCTTCAAACTTCATATTGTCACACAATTACCTTAATTCTAAACACCTGCTGATGTGACAGGCACAAGCTGGAATAGAAAACACATTTGAACTTGGTCAAAGTTCATTCTGCAAGTCCAATGCTGCAGGCAAAYCCATGCTGCAATGACATGCTACGTGGCAATGCACACTTGTTTTTACATCGTAAAAACCCATGTCTAGTTAGTATTTAGCTTTGTGCAACGTGCTGTCATGGCAACTTGTATTAAAATTCGTTATGGCTAAAAACATTGCCTTGAATTTCTGTGAATAGTCTACCTACAGTATATCTGCGTTTCCATTGCAAATGTGCGCAAGACTTTGTCGATGTTCATGCGTGAATAGATTTTTTTCTCGCGATTAGTCATTACAAACATGGCGGCAACGGATGTAAACATGCATATTACTACCACGACGCTAGCGCTCATCATCAGCCATCAGAGAAGACGTCGGCATCTTATTGAGGCTTTTGGGCGACAAGCCCCTTATACTTGGGAGCGGCTACGTATGCTGCATTTTTGGGAAATTGTAGTCAGTTATTTTGCTAATTTCTTTTACTACTTCTGTGATTTTACTACTACTTCTACTTCCTGTTGTCTTCTTCTTCTTTGTCTTTTTCGCCAGTAGAAACAATCGGTTGTTGATCCCGTGATGCGAAAAAAGTGTTTCCATTGCAGTTTTGCGAAATACACCAATTTCGATACGGCTGACCCACCTTATCCTAGCCTAGCACAAAACCATTATGTCGAGTTTTTTCGAAATTAACGTGTTTCCATTGAGCAAACTTATTTTTGAAATTCTAATTTACGCATTTTCGTGGTCAATGGAAATGCAGCTATTGAGTGCTTTCTAAGTAAAAATAAATAAATAAATGGGGGGCGGGGTAATTGACAGATCAGATCGAACTTGAGCCGCTAATTGCCCATCCCTGATTAAACATCTGTTAGACATTTGTTGCCCTAACTATGAGGGCTGTGAACAACTCTCGCCTGCTACCACATCAAATTTTAAGCAAATATCTGTAGAAATGTCTGAGTTGTAGCTGTTTTTGTGTTGGCTAATGATAATTAGCTTTGGGAGGTGTTAAAGCTGAAGCCTGATATTCAATGTTCTCCATGTTTGTGTTTTCGGTCCTGTTTTCTGTCTCTAAGCACCCCTTCCACTGCTCGCCCGTGGCTCAGTAAAATTGGACAGGTGAAGCGGGACAGCGGGATGTCATTGATACAGTTCGACAGAACCGCAGGCTACTCGGAGTTCGATCTGCTCATTAACCGAGAACAGGGGTGAAATCGCGCAACCGCCCCCACCACCCCGTAAAAGGTGCTCCACCACATGCGCTCCGGTTTTGTTTGTTTTGCAAGGCAGGAGCACTTAAGTGAGGTGAAATGTGGCGTTTTGTCGTGAAGGCGAGAGAAGCCGCTCTTCACTCCGTTCTGGCCTCGCTCCGCACAGATCAAGCAGCAGGCGGGGAGCGCCTCGTCTGTGTCGAACTCCAGCGTTCCTCTCAGGATGTGCTGAGGCTGAAATATGAGCGTTATGAACCTGTCCTCTGCTGGAGAACAGATTCCTCCGGCAGGCCTGTAAAGTTGCCTTTGCTGGAGACATGAATTARGGCAGCAGACAGTGCAAGTGTCCTTGTGAATTTCAGAAGTCAATTACAGTGTTTCTCCTCTGGACTGCAGGGTCGTATATGTAAATGTGTCAGCGTGTGGGGAATGTAGCTGCCGAATCCTCAGCTGTGTCTGTGGGAAAGAAAGAAAAAAGTTTAGATTTGAATGCATTAGAGGATGGAGCAGCTTCAGTGAGCACAGTGTGAGAACACAAAGTTACTTACTGAGTTACTGAACAAAGAATATACCTTTGTTGTCTSTGTTGCATAAACACTGACAAATAAGCCATATGCACATGGTGGGGTTTGTGAGTTCAAAGCATGTTAACCAAACACACATACATGTGTGTGTGCGTGTGTGTGTTTGTGTGTGCATTTGTCTGGAGGAATGCTGTCAGCCGTCATTCCCGAGTGTCTTCCCCTGTGTGTTTAGACAGCCTCTGCCTCCAGTTGGCTTTCTGACAGAATGGGTACAGTATTACAACACAAAAACAACACCACAGTAGCTGCATCAATGCAGTGTTTTTTTTTCTTTTTGTTATTTCTGTCGCTTATACATGAAAACCAAAAAAGGGAAAATCATTGCACCAAAAAGAGACTGGTGTTCAGATGCTTACTGTTTTTTAACACTYGGAATGCTGAGGGGTCGTTCTGACCCATTTTGCATTTTCGACTCGTAAGTTTCGTGAATTAAATTTATCCYTTTTACACTTTGTGGCTTTTGACAAAAGGATTTTTGATTTATTTCTTTTTAAAACCATAGTCCCATCTGGAATGCATATCACTTGCTTCCTTTTATGCCACAGTTATAAACAAAGATTGACGCATGCTGAGAAATGATGGCGTTAAAAGTTGGTCAAACCTTGAAAACAATCTCATGAGATCTCATGAAGCGTTAGCACCGGAATCTAAGCAACTACATCCAATTTTAGCTCAGTATTTTTTCAAATTAACCAGAATAAAGCCATTTTTGTGTTGGCTYAACTTGATTAGCTGTGACKGCCATCTTGAATTAAGTCAGTCTTAAATCTAGTTTCATTTAAATCTGTTCAGTGGTTCAAGAGAAATTTGACTAAACTGACAGTTAAATAAAGGCGTGCACARATAAAAACAATGTAACAAGCTGAACTGCTTCAGACTATCAGAAGCAGGAAGATCTGATAAACAGAATAAACAGAATAAACCTGGTTGAAAAGGCTTTATTGACTGTGTAAGAAAASAATTCTTAAGAAAGAAAGACACTTTTTGATTATCATCGTTTCCTTCTAAAGAACTTGTTCAGCTATTTGACAGACAAAACTACACTGATTTTATTTAAAAGAATAGACTGTACCAGGCAGGAACATGAACAAGTGCAAAAGAATGATGACATACCAAGTTCTGGAATCATWCCAGAGCATGAGCTCACAGCTGTGGACTGAGAAAAAAAAAACATGCTGCTGACTGAGCGTGGAGGAATCTGAAGAGAATGAGGTCAGTGATCAATACTGGGCCACAACAGGACTGACAAAATTCRGGAGAACCATTACATTAGTGGCCATAAAATGGCCTGTTGTGGTTGTTAGTCCTGGACATCACTGTGAGGAACGTTGGAACTTGATGCTTACATTGTCTGCTGCAGTATTAATGCAGCAACTACCGATACATGTAATCCGAAAACTTATTGTCTAAATACACACCACAGCAAAAAACTGGAGTGTTAAAATTTCAGTTGAACTTTTTGGAGCTTAATTTAACTCCCAAAGTGTTATTTTAACACTTTGAGTTAATTGGCATCCAATGTTGAGGTTAATTTTATCAGTATTGTCTCAACTCTTGAAAGTTAAATAAGCTCCGCCCACTGTTAAGTGTTGAATAACACGTAAAAGTGATGAAAAAAGTGTTCTGAAAAGCCCCGCCCTCTTTCACCACATGTCAGATCGTCCGGAATTATAGGGATGCTGGGTTTGAACACCAGGAGGTGTTTAATTCAGCAGTGGGTGTCGCATTAACAATACAATAGACGTACAGTGTATAGAAACTTTGTTGGTGTTGAAATTAGCAATATGGGTGTTAAATTAACACAGCCAGAACTGTTAAAATATTTCTCTATATGTAGCTGTAAACTAATGAAAAAAATAGAAGCGTACTGTAACAGGTTTTGATTTTTAAAGCACTTTAAAGCATTAAGTGACAAAGTGTGGAGTGTCAGAGGAAATAATCAACATCATTTTCAGAAAACTTTAAATTATTGTATTGTGTATTTTCCAGGCACAGTTCCATTCGATACCACAATCAAGTTACCTTCATTTGTCAAAGAAACATTGTTTATATCAAAAATGAATTTGGCTTTGCTTTATAAACTCTTTAGGAACCTCCTACTGTTTTCGACACAACTTCAGCATGTCATCCAAACAATGCTTCGGGGGAGGGGTGCTCTGTGGGGCAGGAGCTCAGCTGCAGACTGAGCTCCAGGGAGGAGCTTTGTACAAATAGGTGGAGCTTTGTACCAGCAGGTGTTTAGGCAGCTCCACATGTCCACCACAGGAGATTCATGGATTTATCAAACATGCATGAATGAGTCAATTTTGCAGAATACGCCCTTAAATGTTTCAATAATATAATTAATTAATAAAGAAGAAAACATTACAGTAATATTTTATATGTTGCTTTATTTTATTGAGAGAAGGCAGAATGAAATGGAGCCAAGTCTGATAATGAACCCTCCATCAGTTTATCATGCAGGACTGATAGGTGGGGATCATATATTTGATGTTTATAAAGGCGTTTGGACCTCCGTAGTATTCAAACATCTCCAGCGTCTCATTGATCAGGGCCCCGATGTTCTCTCTTGTCCGCTGGCTGTTGTCAATCACGTCGCCTGAGAAACAAGACAAGACACAGAGACAGGCAGAGTGAGGAAAACAAAGCAAAAAGAAAACAATAAACTCGGCACAGTCTGGGTCATCTCAGCCTGCGAGGTTGATATCAGGGCTCAGGAAGCACCACCTGCGGCCACGCCGCACTGATTCGCTGCAGACTGAGTCGGCAGACGCCATCCCTCCGTCTGACTTGAAACCCAGCGGATGGACTGAATCTAATTTACTCCTCTGCTGTGGCCTGTTGGGACTGAACGGCAGAAGAGTTTTTAACTGTTCAGCTGAAAGTTTAATGAGGCGGCCTGTGGAGCGGAGAGCGGCGTGGAGGACGTTGTGAGTTAGTGACGGCTCTGCTGTTGCACTACACTGCACCGGTGCACACAAGGCATGGGCAGTGACCTGGAGTCGCACTTCACAGGTACGAATACATACACACATACATACGCATGTTATGTATGCTTCTATGTGTGTGTGGCTGATGCAGAATGAAAAAAAAACCTGAAGGAACTAATCAGCTGCATGTCTCAGTTCTCACTTTATCAATGTYAGCAAGTACAATCAATCGTTTTATCAATCATTACAACATTATACTCATCATGATTGCAACAAGAAAGCTGCAGAAACTTCATTCACCCAGGACACACAAACACACGGGCGTGTTTGTTCTTCTATCCTCATGAGGACTTTGCATTGACTTCCATTCATTGATTGGTCATTTCTATAGTCTAACCTCACAGGTCAAACTCAAATCGAATCAAATCAAATTTATTTGTCACATACACAGTAATACACAGTACGACTTGCAGTGACATGCTTTTTGTGACAGATCTGCACACACAGGGGCTAAGTAGGTAAGTTAAAGTGTAAATGTAAACAAAACAACACAATAATTGAAATGCAGAACGTGCAAAATCCTACAATAACATAAACACACTGGTATATACTGTGCAAAATAAAGTATATATCATGCAATATATAACTTCCTTTTCTCATAGGTACATACTTGACCCTAACCTAACCTAAACTCAATTCACATCATAGTCCTAAAACAAATCCCTAACCCAGCAATGATATTTACCCCAATAGGGACCAATTTTTTTGCCCCATAAGGAACAGTGGGTCCTCACCAGGCACAGGTGTGTCAGACGAAAATGGTCAAAAGTCATCCCCACCAGTTAGCAAAAACAGGTACCCACACACACACAGCTGGGTACAGCTATCTATATGGGACATTCCAATGACTTCCATTAACTTCTACAGCCTAACCCTGACCATTTATCCTAAAACTAACCTCAGGTACCTACCTGACCCTAAAACTAACCTAAACTCAGTTCACACCGTGGTCCTAAACCTAACCCCCATCCCATCAATGACATTTCCCCAAATGGGTACTAGGCTTAGGTCCCCACCATATGTACCAGTTGGTCCTCACAAGTAGGGGTGTAGTCTAAAAATGGCCCTGATATGGTAGGAAATATGTCTTGGTCACAGATGCACCAGCAAGACGTGCACCAACAATTTGTCCTCTTTTGAACTCTGGTATGTCACCCATAATGTTGTGTTCATTGCAAAATTTTGAGGAGAACTGTGCTTTTACCCTACTAATTGATCCTTCACACTCTGTTCTTACTGGTACAATGTGCAATTTATGAAGATTACCCACCAGGCTGGTCCAATTTAGCCATGAAACCTCCCACACTAAAATGACAMGTGTTTCAGTTTCATTGTTCAACCACTGTATGTTTGTTTTTCTATCCTTATGTGAACTTTGCATTGACTACCATTTATTTACCAGACATTTCTACAGCCTAACCCTGACCCCTCACCCTAACCTCACAGGTACATACCTGACCCTAAATCTAGCCTAAACTCAATTCACACCTTGGTCCTTAACCAGACCCCTGACCCACCAACAAACGCACACTCACAAGCAATCTTGTTTGTCCTGCAGTCAGTGTAATGGCTTCCATTGACTTCCATTCGTTTCTATAGCCTAACCCTAAAATTAATTCAAACCTTAGCCCTGAACCTATGCCCTGACCCACAAATGGGGTGGTCCCTTGTAAAGACCATGCAAAATGTCCTCATGAGGATAGTAGACTATCAAAAATATGTTCTCACAAAGACAGACACACAGGAACACAAACACACACAGCTACACAGTGAAACAACAGAAGTCTAGCACGCTGGGGGAACTTGTTATCAAAAACACATTCCTGAGGTGTTCAGCTTCCACCCCTTCTTACTTTCCTCCCTTCTACCAGCTCACACACACACACACACACACACACAC